ACACGAAATCCCTTTGTAGGATAAGACAATCAAAGTCTCACTCTTGTTCTAGGTTAAGATACAAGAGAAACAAAAAGAAGTTTTAGTGTTTATATGTGTTCTTCAAAGATCTTTGATGATCTTTAAACAATGAATCTATTTCTCTCTTACTCTCTTACTAACTATTTGTTTCTGATTTTTTCTATATCATTTGCCAATGTCTACATCCCTTTATATAGAAAATGAAAGGTTGCAACCAATAGTTGCAATGGTTAAAATAAAGAGTTGCAAAGGTTAATGCTAATGGTTGCAATGATTAATGAAGAGTTGCAATGGTTAGTTAAAGAGTTGCAATGGTTAATCACCAATGGTTGCAATCATAAAGGTAGTTATTACCAAATGTTGCAATTGTCAATGGTTAATCACCAAAGATTGCAATTATAAAGGTAGTTATTACCAAAGGTTGCCATTACCAAAAATTGCAAGGTTTCATTTATGTAGTTGTAATTGTTCATAAACAATTGCAATGGTTTAAATAAACACTTGCGCCCTTTCACATTCACTTAAATATATGACATATTTTTCATTTTCTATTTTGGCAAAACGAAAATTTATAGACTAACGTTTATAATTCCTTGACAACGCCTTTATAAGTTTTGTTTGTGTTACGACATTCACATTTTAAATGACAGATATTTTACACACCGGAAAAAGGTAAGAAACTCTTTTTCGTGTTGTGAACATGTTTCTTAGTTAGCGTTTGCGTTTAGAACTTTCAAAATGCTTAAACAAATACGAATTTTTTGTCCTCGAATTGCTGATACTATGGGCTGTTTCTTTTGTAAGCATGATGGGAACTGTTTCTTAGAAAAACGATGTGATAAAGTAAACTAACAAAACAAAACGTCAAAAGCTGTTTAGATATACGAATTGCTGGAAAAAAAATTGTTAAGACAAAGTCTTTATTAGTAGTATAGCACTAAAAGAAATGATATCAAGAAAATGATTTCATCTAGTACACTATATATGTTTCTATAATCCTTTTAAGAATTATCAAATGATATACTTGTGATGACAACATAAGAATTGTTCAATTTGTCAACACCTTATAATATAGTTCTACTATATAACTGTTTTGTAAAGGCAATATATGTTCATCACAACCTCCAAATTACTTGAACAAAATGGATAGCAAAACCAACAAATACTTAGCCCTGATTTTTGTTACATTCTTGATCAGCTTATCCTACCATCCTATCTCCGCCACACCACAACAAAGCAATGCCCATTTCGTGCTGGTTCATGGGGCCGGTCACGGGGCATGGTGTTGGTATAAACTCATACCAATACTGAAATCTCAAGGCCACAATGTAACTTCTGTCGACTTAGCTGCATCAGGGATCGATCTAAGTCAGGCTGAGACTCTCTCGTCGATCAACGAGTATATTGAGCCATTGATGGACGTAATGAAGAGTCTAAATGTGGATGAAAAGGTGATTCTGGTGGCACATAGTTTTGGTGGGCTAGCTATCTCTAAGGCCATGGAGTTATTCCATGATAAGGTTCAAATGGCTATTTTCGTTACTGCCTTAATGCCTGGTCCAACCATCAATTTCACGTTGCTTTCTAAAGGGGTACGTTACAAATTACATACTTATTCACTAGTAGAGTAACATTGATCGCTTACGTAGTTTCAAAAATAACAATCCTCGTTTAACATTTTTGACCGTCAACAATTCTAAACCATTTGTAAGTTGGTGAGGTGGCAAGCTCCACAACTGGACATGAAGTTTATATTTGGAGATGGGCCTAATAAACCTCCAACACTTTCTATTGGAGGTCCACTTTTCCTTTCACTAAATATGTATGACCTTAGTCCTAGAGAGGTAACCAGACACAATAATTATTACATAACTTGAAATAATTATTTCATTTTCCTCTACTTATATAACCACTTTTGGACTCGCGCCATGTATGATTTGAAGGACGTGGAGTTGGCGGGTCTATTGGTTCGGCCACAACGTTTATTCAGCAACGAAGATATGGATACAAGTCTAATGCTCACGCCCGAGAGATATGGATCGGTTACTCGGATCTTTCTAGTGTCTGAGAAAGACAAAACATTGATGAAAGACTTTCAGCATTGGATGATCAAGAACAATCCTCCTAACCACGTGGAGCATATCCAGGATTCTGATCATATGGTCATGATTTCCAAGCCGTTGGATCTTGGTAACCGTCTTTTATCTTTGGCTAAGAGTTTGCTTGAAAATATTTGACATTTGATTCAACATGTTGTTGCGAGTCCTAATTGTTATCAAATCTACTATTCTTATGTTGCACAAGCCATGGTGTGTATTTTTATATTTTCGTGTGTGGTGATCATCGCTCTGTATTTGGTTTGACTTTTCAACATTTGCAACTCCAAATAAATTATTTCACAAAATAAGACTAATCAAACTAAGTTGCCGATTTTTAATCAGGTTGCCATTATGGAATATGAATTATGAGAAGGTTAAAATTCAATGAATCAAAATTTATTACTTTAAAAACTCTCTATATCTCCTAAAAAATTAGATGAAACCGCTCTTATAAAAAACATATGTTAAATTTAACTGAAAATAAATAACTTCACAAATCTATTAAATAAACTTGAACTTGGATACAAATTTCATCGAAGACCTAATTTCTATCAAGAACATGCTCACGATTCAAATCCAGTAGTTCTAAAGTATTGAGATACTAGGATAAGACCTGCGCCTTGCACAGGATGAATATATGTAATTAAAATATAAAATTTTAATATTCACAAATTTAAAATTTACATATGATTGTTTTTGTATGTATTTGAAATTTTAGAATTTTGGAATTTTTATATAATTATCTATACGTATGATCAAAAACAATTTTAATTAGAAATGTAAATCAAATCTTAGAATTTAATGGATCTGATTTCATATATCTT